TAAAATGTGAATTACATTTTCAGTTTACAATATTATGTGAAAATGGCCGGAAATTTATTTTTGGAGTCTTTGATTATATAATGAAAGGAATGTAATATTTTCATTTTGAATGTACAATAGCAACAGGCGGACTTATTTTAATTTTTCTCTCATCAGCGATTCACGAAATCGCAATCGGAGGAAAATATCCTATTATATATATATATATATATATTCAAAAAGGTCTTGGCGCGGACATTTTCTTTGGTTATCTAGCTGTATGAGTTTTATTCTACATCATAAAGCTAGGTTACCGGAGTTAAGCTCCTCGCCATATCAACTCCAGCAATCTTCCCCTTATGCGTTTCTACGCTTCAGCGAAAATAAAGCACCGAGACGCCGAAACTGTTACACCTGAGGTGTCCTGGGCATCATCGCGGCATCAACTTATCGAGTAACAAAGGCAAAGTGATAAAAAAAAATTTAAGATTATAAATTATAATTTTAGAAATTAACAGTTGAATTTTGACATATTTCTGTGCAATATTATGATTCATTGTATGCAATTGATGCAATTATATTTAACGATTTACTTATGTTATTCACATTTTACTAGATACATGATACTAGATGGATACTAGATAAACTTGAATGTCAAGATCATTCTGTTGTACATATGTGTCCGAAGACACATGTGTCCTACTGATTGTCACTCGAATCGAATGAATAAAAATAGCGAACCCCGCAAAATCCGCTCCTCTCTTCCATGTTTTCAAACAGAAAGGGACCCATGGTATTGTGTCGAATAATTTTCAGCTGTTAGGTCCTCACAATGGACCGAGTGTTCGGTTATGAAGAACCATGCAAACACAGATCCATAAAGGAGTATAAGCGACGCAGTCGCCGAACCCGCAACCGCAGCAGGCAAATGCGAGAGTATCGTCTAACATAAGTCGTAGCTGTATGTATGGCTCTCTGTATTCTCCTCGTGCGTGAAACTACGAGTTGGGCATTAGTAATTGTCGTTAGTGTCGATGACTCGTGACCAGTTTGTCGAGAGGAGAGGACTTTTCAAAGTCGCGCAACATCGATGTTCTCTCGCACATTTTTATTTCGCATCTACATCACGCGCGGCTCTATCACGGCTGAAAAGAATGTCCGCTATTTCGATAATCACACTTTGGAGAAAGTTACATTGTTATATCGCACCGGAACCAGCATAAATGCGGGACGCGTCCCACAATTCGACGAAGCTTACACAATAAATGGTCGGTTATTTTTTTCTTTCCTCTTAATCCGCAAATTGATTTAATTTCTCGAATCACGAGTTTTATTTTCGAAATGAATTTCGTCAATTTGAAAGCCGCATTTTCCCTCGTTATATCATTGTTAATATAGTTCTCATTGTTGCAGATATACACGTGCGATCTTTGGACAGATTTCTCTTACGAAGATCCTATTGACAATTTATTTTGACTGCTTTTGGGAAAAATTTGTGCACGTCGTGAGTTCAAAGTTAACATATCGAAGGCACGCCTCGCGAGAACGGAACCAGTTGTTTCATTAAACACACGCTGTGCCTATGAAACGTTACATTTTAAGTGTGTGCCGACACGGTGCGTGACGACGATGGTTCCCACAATAAAGAAGCCGGGATATGTTTACCAATTATACATATGTATATGCGACCACAGGAACGAACACGTCCGGCGTGATATCGCAAGAAAAATTCTTTGGCTTTGTTTAAATTGCATGTAAAAGTTAGAACAATACCAAAAATATGATGCTTTATAAAATACGTAACATCAAAAGGAATAGAAGAAGAATGCCAATCACATTATTCTTTTACTTAATTCTTTCTAAAATTTATTTGTAAGTTTTCTTTAAAATATTTAAAATAACTTAAAGCATTAAATGATGAATTAAATGATGAATATAAATGATACATTTAAAGAAATTTTTTTACGTAGATTTGAAAAATAAAATTGAACAAATGGTGTTCTCTCTTTTCGCAATGATAATCCTAACATGAACAGTAGCTTAGTTGGACTCAATCGGTTCAAGGGTTTTAAATATTGATTCTGTATATAACTTTTTCTATTTTCTTTTATTTATCATGTATATACACGTATAGCGTAAAATTTTTATCATCTTATATAATCATTGATACTCTTGAAATTATAAGATCAGAAAAAATGAAGATTTTAGATTATTTCATCATTTAATGGTTGATATTAAATTTTATATCATGACGAAAAAATGATTAAAACTACCTGAATTGTAATCTTTACGTACGCTTCAAAACGTCCATTCTTCTTTTTTCATTTTTCACTATCCATAAAGCTGACAAAAGATTTATCCGCGACAAGGAGCAAAATCGTACATTTCCAGATCCATGACGATGTTCTGGATCAAAAGTAACACTGTTAACAAAAGAAAATTATTGAAGAAGAAAAGATAAGAAGATAAGAAATTTTTTAAATGTACGATAACATTTATCTTTATTTTACTGTCATAATTAATAATTATTTATTGTCATTATTATTAATCATTCTTTTTCTATCTGCAAGATTATAAGATAGTTATTCATTATAATCGACATTGTCATTATAATTCTATGTAAATATGATGCTCTTGTGAATCATTTTATATTGCGGAACAACATATGATTACGTTAAACTGCTGTATGTCATTATTTGAATGTTTTTCTTTTATATTTCTCTATGTTTCATTTTATATCTTCAATATCATCAATTTTGAAAGGGATGAAAACTTTATATACTTGAAATATTTTTAGAATATTAAATCTTGGTATTGTTATATAAAACGATATAAACTTTACATATATTTTATCTATAATAATGTTAAATAAAAGCATAAATTACTATAAAAAGCAAGAGCTTCAGCAATCTGTTATATTTGAATTAAAAATTTTATTAGAAGATATAACTTAGATACGTATTTATAAAATAATTTTAAAAAAATGTAGATATTATTTGTCTTTATTTTAAGTCAATCTATTTGTAACAAAAATTGTAAAGCAACTGAAACAATCATATGCTGATTACTTTGTTCTTTATTTTTATGTCTTGCTCAACATTTTGCATGAATGATCAATCAATATTTTAATACTCGAGTTTCATTAATTTATTAGTAGAGAAGTTATAAAACTTCTCTACTAATAAATTAATATTTATTGTACATATATTCATAATCTGATATTTTGCTCTAACTAATCAATGTCTTTTCTAGATGTTGGAGTAAGTACAAATCGAAACCGTTGGAAACGTTAAAATCTTCACCTTCCAGACAAAGATTTCCCAGCTTATGTTTTTGAACAATACTTTATGCAATACTTTTGAACAAAGAAATCTTTCTCCGAGAATTGCTCTTAAATTTTAATAATATTATGGACAAAATTCACTATAAATCTTTAATAGAGTCTTCCAAGCTTAACAACGACAAAGAATTGTATATCAAAATTATATTAAATAAGAACAATTGTATGCTATCATTGATCACTGGTATTGATATGATCAAGACTGATTTAATTAAATATTGAAATAATCATAAAATTATTATTAATACTGAAGATCCACCCATCGATATCTCTCGTGAAATGCTGCAACATGAAAAACTTTTAAATATCATTTGTAAGAATCTTATAAAAAAATATTGTAAATTCTTTGAAATTTACGCAAAATAAAGACATTTACAAAAAGAGCAATTTAGTGGTAGTAACATTAAATTGGGAACAATATTAATCGCAGTAAATTAATATAGCTTTTAAGTTATTATTTGTATTCGACGATGAGATGTATTCATTAAAAGATTACATCAGTAGAATGAAGGACAAGCAAAAATATATTTACTTTGTCACTGACAAGAGTGAAAAGCATATAGCGAACTTATTCATTGAATATATGAAGAAGCGCGACTTTGAAGTGATTTACATGATTGACATGATGAAGGAATGCTGCATTGTGCAAATGAAGCAATTTGATGAAAAGTATTTTGCATGTCTGTTACCAAAGAGGGCTTGAAACTTTTTGAAGATGAGGTTGAAAAGTAAAAGCTTTAGGAGAATAAAATTAAGTTTATATAGAATGGTCAAATTAATATTTGATAAAGATAGCCTCTTGTCAGAGAAGCAGGATTATATGCAAAATAATATATCGATAAATGTCTACTACCAGAGAGATGCAATAAATAGTACAAATGAGAAAATGGAAAGAACAAATTAAATTTTGCATTATGATAGAACTTTTCTGATTTTTATATATAAAAACACTGTACAAACATATGATCTCCTTTGGTGTGATCATCTGTTTAATAAATAATTTTTATAATACAATAATACACAAATTTATCATTATCCTGCAAAAACCTTTACTTTCTAGCAAATATATTATCATCTTACTCTTATCAAAATTAGTATCTTTATTAATTATTACTAATTACTACTAATTGCATTAATTTCGTAAAAATTAAGTAAAATTAAATGAAATAGAGATAACAATAATCATCTCTATATATTTTATATATTAAATATATATATGGATATGTCATAAATATAATTTAATATTATCCTTTTTGTTTTGAAAATCAATATCTTATTCCATAATTCAAAAATATGCAATACAAGACATTTATTTAATTATATGAAATTACATGTCCAATATAAAAAAATATTAATCAATGCTATTGTATAAAGAATAAATTAATCAAGGAAAAGCAATTAAACATCAGTAATATGAGTAAACAATGCAATAAATTTATTTTAATGTATATTAAGTTGTAATACTGAATCTTTCTCCTCTTTATTATGTTCAATTAAATAGAATCAGCAATGGTCAAAATGTAAATTTTGTCATGTAACAAGACACAAAAATGGAGGGGAACGTGTAATTATCTTTAGAATATTTTCGAAGAATTTCGACAATTAAGAATTTAATTAAATGTAAATTGAATGCTTTCTTTACCTCAGTTATTTTTGCAGGAAAGCAAGGTTTTTAGTTAATTATGCGCGCACAAGGAATACTTCTTTAAATTCACTCTTCCCTCCCTACCATACAGGTGCTTCGTCACTGAATGCTCAAATCAAAAAAGTCCGCCAAAACGCCATCTGTACGACGGCGATGCTCGAGAGGAGCACTTCTGTGCGGACGAAATTAGTCGTGTGGAATATCGCGCGGGCTTATTCCTCAGAGAAAAAAAAAATTATGATGGCAAGCAAGGCTTGGAAGGTCAGTACTGGAACGCAGGGATCCTCGCTGTCGCGAATCGCCTCGCGATGATCTCGGGGCAACCGATCGTACATTTACGCGATATGTGACTCGCCGTCCTGAGGTACTGACCCGATTCTTTTCGCAGGTGGTCCAGCCGCACGTGCCGATGATCAAGTTTCGCAAGGGCGGCGCTAATCGCGCAGGTAAACTCAGCAAAACCGGCATGCACGATGCGCGACGATGCCGATGTTGAGAGAGAGAGAAAAAAAAAGAAAGTGCCCCACGCCGACACTGAGATACGCGTTATCTGTCACAGCAGTTGCGGGCACGACAGCAGCTCCATCTACGAGACCAGGGGCGTCCCAGATGCAGCAGAGCGCGGGCGGTGCTACGGGCCCTCGGGTGATCGTTCTGCCGACGATCGAAGACATTCACCTGCCGCTGCGATATCAGAGACGGCCGATAGACCCGAAGGAAATGGAATATATTAACGTAAGTTGCGAGATCGTTGACAGGAATTTTGAGATAATAAATTTCTCACCCTTAGAAATTATTTTTCGCTCATTTACTTAATATGAGTGTAGATATAATGTGTATCTGTTATATAATGTATTTTAAAAAGTTTTAATTATTCTGTATTTAATATATGTATATATCTTGATATCTTCATGTGTTACAGCGTGGCGGGCCAGAATGAGCATGCAGCGCAAGTATTTAGGATCTTATAAATCTATGCATATATAACTTATATCATAAATTAATTGTTATTGTTTGGTAAGACGCAATGTGTTGTGTTCAAACAAATAAACGTGATAAAGGAGAGATATTTCACACTGCGAATATTATTTTATATTTATGTATCAGCTATATATATTGGGCAAGGTCTTTTGTGACATTGCCAGGGCCTGCTATTTCTGGCACGATTCTTAGCTCATTCCTGTAACATCTAATGCGAGTTAATCCTAGATCTAAAACAATGAGAGATTTTAGAGTAAAATATTTTATTTATAGTTTATATTAAAATTTTTCTACTTGTGCTTTTCTCATACATTATATATAATTGAAGCTAGAAAAATTTTATTTTTGCTCTCGTTTTGTGGTAGAAAAGCTTATCTTAAACATATTTTAAACTTGAAAAATTTAAATGAAGTTTATTTGTCATTGAAATAAAATATATAATATTTCATGTAAATGCACATAAAAATTGAGATGTCATTTTCAAATTTAAAGCTGCCTTTAAGTATCTTTCAGTATAATTTATTTTCCATAATATGTGCTATGCGTGTGCTGTGATTTTTTTTATTGTAATAATTGTATAATATCATTTTATGATGGCGTCTTGATACAGCCCTGCTGCGGTATGACAAAAATAGCAGACGACAGTGCGCTGCTGCGGCGGCTTTCATCTCGTCTCGCTGTGCCTGGACGTGAGAGCGGAGGAAGATTCGCGATCCGTTCATAGTTTTATCAAAGTTTTCTCGACGCGCGAAACACATTATTTACGAACGACGAAACCTACTACGAAAATGGCCGAGATAACAGATTTCGGACCAAGAAAGACGATTTTTATACTCGCGATCGTGGCCAGCTGCTTCGCGGTGTTATGGCCGAAAATTTTCTATCCTATGCTCACAGCATCTGTCACCCCGCAACCTACGACGGACAGTTCTGGTAAGATTCCAATGTTCACGTGTGTAAGATTATTGATGACGTTAGAGAATTCTCGCTAAAAATATTTTCTTATCTCCCGGGTAGACATTATATATACTTCCTTTTCCTATTTTGTCTATAAGTAACTTATTGTTAGATTTTGATGTCTCATATGTAGAAAGTTAAATAGGAGTTTTTATATCTGAATATAAAATACTTTGCAAAATATTGTTTTTATACTGTATACAGTTATTATGCGTAGTGTGCTGCGAAGTAATATTTGAAAGCGATGTCACTGCAGTGGATATCATGCAAGAAATGTGTCAAAATATATTGAGGCATCATCCGGTTGATCCACGTGTCAGAGATGCGTTAAAGCTTAGCAAGCTGAGCCCACAAACCGCGAGTTTGTGTAGAGAGGAGGTTCTAGCCAGATGTGGCATTGATTTATCATCTTTTCTTGCTGAGAGAGAACGATTGGGAAAAACTTACAAACAAGTGTTGGAGGAAATTAGATCGTTCAATAGCTCTCTTTGCCTTAAAATGAACTTTGGTGTACCATTGTCTCAATTAGGAACACCTCATCTTATCAGATATCATATCTTGATGCCACATAGTAAGAATTGCAAGAATATGCAAATTAGTTGCCACTTAATATTAACCACTTAATTTTTGTGTCATATTCTATTTTAATATATAATTAATCAATTAACTACAGCTTTATAACAATTTTTCTAAATATACATGAATTTGTAATAATAATTTAATATATGCTATTAGTAATATTTATATTAATTGAATTTGAATTAATAGTAATCATACATGATGCATATTGTTTATAAATTACTTATATAATAAGATAAACTATGAAAGATATATCTGTAATGTATCACATCATCATATTTATATATGGAAAATGGCTTTGAATTCTTTTTACTTTGGCTGATTGCCAAAAGAGTAAGCGCATTGGCAAACAATGTTTGGCATACAAGACATAGCTTATAATGTTTTAAATACATCCATACCAATGACCTATTATATATCTCTCTCATCAAGTTTTCCATAAAAATCTTAGATTTATTTCATTAGAAATTATCAACTGGATCACATTTATAACAATTTTTAAAAAAATTAATAAAGCACTAATTATATTGCAGCAATTAACACAAGCTTATATTAGTTTCTAGATAGGCGTTTTAACACAAAATTAATATATTTTTGTGTGAATGAATAAATGAAAATATATTTTACAGATAAAATCCATAGACTTTTTTTATGTATACAGGTACTATACGACAGGAGCGTCGTACTCCTCCTCATGCAGGTGGAATGCATCCTGCGATGATGGAGCGGGGAAGAGCTATACCATCCTCCCACATTGTACCAAAGGTAATTGACAAATCCGACCGTGTTATACCAAAAATGAGACCACCTCTTGGCGGCGCTGGTCATGTTGTTCCAGCTCCCAAAGGAAACGGTACAATGGGAATTATAATGCCGCTATACACAATAGGAATAGTTTTGTTTTTCCTATACACCATTGTTAAGGTAATGTATAAATCTGCAAAATAATCATGACGAAGATACTGAAGAGTATCATAAAATCTTAGAATGTATTTTATATTAAACTCGTTATTTTTTTTAAGGTATTGAAGAAAAATTCGGATAACGAGATTATTTCGGAATACCCAGGGGCAGCTGCTGAAAAGGAATTTCGAAAAATGGTGTTCAGTCCAGAAGCTCTGGCTACTGCAATGACTGGAGGTACGCTACATTATCCAAGGGAGAAGTCACCATATAGAGCTGCACCAACTATAGAGGAGTTGAAGGATCGTAAGTGCTTCTGTGTAAATGCTTCTGCTATTACAAGCCGTGTTTCATTACATTATCATCTCAATGCAATGTTTTTCTGAGAAGCTATTTCTTTTGGAGAAATATTTTGGAGAATTAAGATATATATATATATATGCCTTCTTGAGTATCTAAACAGATTTTTCAATGGTGTTGCATGATGCAAGGTTTGCACAATTAGAACACACACGTATCTATTACACGCGGATATACATTGCAAGATTCTGAATAAAAATGCGCATATATTGTAAGTACTCATACTTATACTCTGTACTACGTTTGATAATGTTGTACATGCTGGAACACAAGAAGCGGCAGGAGACATAGAGATAGATCAACTGAGACAACGATTGGTCGAGACGGAAGCAGCCATGGAAAGAATCGTTGTTCAGATGAGCAACATATCACGTTCAGTAGTGCATAACTCGGGCTCACAGCCAGAAATCAAGGTTTATCAGAATTTTGACGCAATTCACAGTTTCAGTTTATTAGTCGTTAGAAAGTATGCACGTCGCTGTGTTCTGATTGCGTTACAAGCTTTACCCATCCAATGTACATTAAACATATTGTACATTTATTATTAAGATTTATCTTTAATATTTGGCTTTCTCAAATATTAGTGCTAAGTGTTGTAAAAATTACAAATTGTTGGTTTAAATGTTTATATTCTATATATAAGATTCATATTAATGTATATGCATACATTAGTCGAGTGCGATTCAATATGAGTATTTAAATTGGAATATATTTAGTAATAGAATTTACGTTATATATTTTATATTTTGAGTAGTAGATGAGGCTCCAAAGTCCAATGGTCTGGCAGGGGTCGATCGCGGTTCTAAGGTATATCCCTTGCCTCCGAAAATATCTCTAACAAGAGTAACCAAGAGTTTGTGGGACACTTTCCATTTCTAGTGCACTAGTTTCATGAATAATGAGTATCATGTAAATTTTGTTCTTTTTCTTTTTTTTATATGATAGTTATATATTTACTTATATGATTCTGTGATAACAACATTTAAATGTTTCAAATACAGAATTATTATTATCCCTTTATATAAGTAAGGATATTTTTCTCAATGCTAAATATTATTGAGGAACATAAGTTAATTTTAAACTCTAAACTAGTTGAAACTAGTTGAAATTTTAGTCGCTCTTCTTATAGCTTCTTGAAGTACTAATTGTGTGCCTTGCATGTGTATGATACTCGCTTATTTTATATCTTATTGATAGAGCATATTATAAAATTAGTATATAACATATCCATTAGCATAATGAATTACAATATTTATCATATATATATAATTATATGATTATACCATGGTTTTTATATAGATGTAGAATCTTTAACATAGCTCACATTTTAAATTCTATGGTTTTTATATTGAAAAGCATTGCTTATATATAAATAGCTTTTATTAAATTAATCAGAGAAATGGCTTTGAAGTTTTTATTATATAATATGTTATTACTATATATATTTTTTATTTGAAAGATATGTGCGAGCAATAAAAAAAGTGAATAGTCAAGAAAAGCAGTATACTAAGAGTTTAATTTACAGGAAGACACTATAATTCCGGAATCACATAGTAGAGAAGGAGAAGAATTAGATGCCGTAGAACAATCACCAACAGTTAAAGTTATGGGTATGGAAATGACAGCTAGTTGTGAAAGTGGACAGAAATGTAGCAGACCTACCACTCCTATTATTTCTACACCAAGGTATACTTATTCTTCCTTAATATATTTTTGCTTTCTCAATGATTTTTTGAGTACACACACACACACACACACATATACATATACATATATACATTACATACATATACATATTGTCATTGTATTTTTTATTTTAGTAATATTGAAAGAGAAAAAACGCCACCAAAACCTATATATTTAGAAGGTGCACTACCGCCGCAATGTGAATTACTTGTGACCGATTCAGAAACACAAGCGGAAAAGTCAGAGGATGACGACGACGCTCCCGTTGTTCTCTCAGGCAAAATGACCCTCTCCCTCATCAGCCTCGACCAGATTCCAGCTGTAAGGAAATATTAGAATTACCAACAGAATCAAATGAATCTGCGGAGCCTTGTTTTATTTGGTGATTCTTTCATTCATTTAATTGTTTGCCTAACTTCTATAGGTTACTTAATATAGAGATCACAAATCACAGGAACTAAATGCAGTGCAAAGAATGGTTTCTTGGCAATTACATATAAGGGTATGAGTAACGTGCTGATTTCAACATTCATTATTTCTATTCCTATTATTCTCTGTGATTTGTTCTAGATATTAATGACATTAGTGCCTTGTGCCTTTTATATATGTTATTTATGTTTCACTAATATTTTATTTTTAATATGATATACACACACTGGCTTCTCTTAATAGAAATTAAGTTTTATTCAAAAATAAAAAATGCCTCTGAACTAGATTGTCAAATTCTTGGAGCTAATTTTATAATTTGGCAATCTATTTCACGTACAATCTATATAGTTTAATGGAGGGGTGTGTTCTGTCTATAAAAACATATAATTTACGTTTATTTAATATATTATTTTTTTATGTTCGTATAAGAGCAAATTATACATTATCTGATTAAATGGAGTGAATTTGTTTTTAGTTTTATTTTTATATTTTTGTTTTAAGAAAAAAAGTTAATAGATTCTTTTTATACATGCTAATGAAGTTATGTTATGCCTTTCACAAGAAACAACACTGCAACATTAATTAAAACTACACATATATTAACATATTAATCATTAGACATGTATCAATATTAGTGTAATATGTTTAAGATATAATATTTTATATCTTCAATATTGCTTAAAACGATTATTACACAAAAATAAAGTACATAATTTAACTGAGTCATGTCTTTTTTATAAATGATAAAAAGTTAGACAAAAAATTAATTTGTTTAATAATATTTATCTTTTGACATTTTTTTATAGACGTAATAATTGCATGTTGCTAAACATAAATATCCTTTTTTTGTTCTTTTTCTGCATTGTAAAAAAGATTTGACTCTATTAAAAAACACTGGTCTTGTATTGTACAAATAATTTTGTACTGCTTTTATTTTTTATTTTATAATTTAAGATATAATTGCATAAAAAAAACAATTATATCTAACATGTAGGATTCAGAAGATGAAGCTCGAAATGGAAAGAAAGCAGAAACCTTGAAAACGGATACAGAAGTTGAGAATGTATTAGATAAAAAATCAAAGTTATGGCAAAGAGAAGAAAAGGAAGAAGAAAAAGAGGAAAGAGAAGATAAAAAAGAAAAGGAGGAGGAAGAAGAGGAAGAGATAGAAGAGGAGGAAGAGGTAGAAGAGGAGGAAGAGGTAGAAGAGGAGGAAGAGGTAGAAGAGGAGGAGGAAGAAGAACAGGAAGAGGAGGAAGAAGAAGAAGAGGAAGAAATTGAGGAAACAGAAAAAGAAAAGGAGAAAATACCAGAACAGAAGACAGAGGGAGAGAAAAAAGAAGAAGTTGAGGAGGAGGAGGAAGAAGAAGAAAAAGAAGAAGAAGAAGAAGAAGAGGAGGAGGAGGAGGAGGAGGAGGAGGAGGAGGAGGAAGAAGAGGTATGGGGATGGGACATAGAAAAGGAGTCTGAAGATGAGTACGAGGAAAAGGGAGAAGAGGCGGAATTAATTTCCAATTCAGATGAACATGATGAACAATACTGGAAAAATATGAAAAATAGAATGAGCAAAAGAGAAACTAGTCAAGAATAAAAAGGCTAAAGACTTTTGTTTTTTCAGGCGGATCAGTGTTTACCAATCTTTAAAGATTGGTCCCTTTATTATAACAAAAAAAGCTACATAACTACTGCAATAATTATAAGAAAGCTAATATATAAATATACTCACAATATAAAAAACATAAACTTATTGATTAAGCACTGCCAAATATCTAAAATGTACATCTTGTATCGCATTTTTGTTTTTTTTAGTCATTATATTCAACATTTTATAGAATCATAAATTTATTGACCACAGGGGCCAAAAGAAAGAGAGGCAGTGCTATCTGTGCCATTTTACAGTGGCATAGATACTTCAATCTGTAACACATATTAACTCCTGTTACTACCTATGTACTTAAAAAGTCATTTAAATAATGTCTTGTAAATGCCAAAAAAAAAAAAATAGAATTATAAATCTCTTTCCAAATAACATATGGCATAGATATCAAACTTGTTGATTGGCAAGCACTGATACAACTCATGCAAAAGCCAAAAATTTAGTCTTTCTTTTTTTACTATAAAGACAGGGTTCTCGTTCGTAAACTTTTTGCTTCATTTATCGTTCTTCATATATTTAATTTTATGTGAAACTGTAGCATTTTGTTTCTACATTTTTAGTTTTTTTTTTAGTATGAAATTTTATAATAAACACTTTTCGATTTCTGTTTATTTATTGTACTAGTGAGAATGTTTTACCATTTTAATATTTCTGACCCTGATTTATAACTATAGGTTAAAAACATATTTGCTTAAAATACATTAAAAATTTATATAAATAATCTATAATATATGATGATATTATATCATATAAAACTATCAGTATTTTTTAAGAAAAGATAATCTGAAAAAGATAAAGAAAATATCTTTGCTTTGTTCCTTTTAGGATCATTTTTAGAAAAATAAAATTTGATTTTTTTTAATTCTTACTTGCTTTTATATAAAAGTCAATAATAATAGCAAATTATTCAAAAAACAGGGCATAAAAGGAGAGAGAAATAATAAAATAAAAAATGCAAGTGTTATAAATCATGTAAAGATATAGTTGATTAAAATATTATACAAGCAAATATAGTATAATATTGTTAGCAACATTCTTTATATAGTTATATTCATATGCGGTTATATATTACATAAAAATGTTACCGTTTTCATAATATCATATTTAAAACTTATGAACAATATTAAAAAATGTGATTGAATAAATCACTATATGTTTTGTAATAATCTTCAATCTTTAATACTGCTTAAGTTAAGCAGTTGCATTTTTTTGTGAAATTTAAAATTATTTTATAGAAACATTTATTCATATATATTTATTTAGATTTCTTCAATTATAGTTTCTTATTCTATTTTATTGTAATGTAGAAACATTTATGTAAGATAATTATTATAGAAATGAAGATATGTTTGTATTTATTATTAGAAAATACAACATAGATAAATTTTAACAACAAAATAACTTATACTTTGATTTATATAGAGAAAATTGTACAACTATTATATATATATATATATATATATATATATATATATATATATAGTAAAGTTTATCATTTTCAAACTGATTTCTTCTAAAAATTAAAAATTAAAAATACTTAATTGTATAATATATGAAAACAGATATTTAAATACAAAGTGGTATTATAATTATGTAGCAACTAAATATTGTTATTAAAATAATAATTTTATATATATGTGTGTGTATTTGAAAAAAATATTTCAAATTGTTCTTTTTTTATTATTTCATTATTTTTATCAATTTCTTTGCTAATAATTTTAGGATTTCAATGACAGTGAAACATGATGAATGATGATTGCAAATGCTAAACCATGATTTAAAATTAATACATAAATAAAGAATATGTGAATATGTTTCTAATATATATTTCTTAAATATTTATGTTTTAATTAAATATATATCTTATGAAAGAAAAACATGAATCATAATTAATTATATGTATAATTATATATATATATTTTTTTTTTTTAATTTTTGAAAAAAATTGTATATTCTTTTATGAAACTATTTTTCTCAAATTTTTTAGAGTGACATAATTTTCTTTATTTATTTCGTATTTAATTTAATTCTTCAGATTTATGCATTCTTACAAATATTGTACATGACATATGACGTACGTATGTACATACATACATACATACATACATACATACATACATACATACGTACGTACGTACGTACATACGTACGTACATACATACATACATACATACATACATACATACATACATACATACATACATACATACATACATACATACATACATACATACATACATACATACATACATACATACATACATACATACAAAACCTCCTGTTCCATTTTATTTTTCTTTTGACATCCAATCTGTCGAAGATATAAAAATCAAGGAATTTTTTTCATACACGAGAAATTATTTCAATTTAAATTTCTGTCTTTTACATCTTTCTTTACGGGATAAATTATAATAAATTTGTTAAAAATTAATAACGTATAACCTGAAAGTCATATTTTTTCATTAATTTCATTGTTATTATATTGTTATTGTTATTATATCATTGTATGTTGTTATATGTTTGATATTCACGTATTTAGATAACATATCTGACAGTGAAAACAGATTGACATTATTGACATAAGTGATGATCGGTTATTCAGGTCGTTGGCTCGTGCGCGTTAGAGCAGAGAAACATTTTGCACATATTTTGTGGAAAATTTGATAAATGAGAATCCCACGTTTTATCCGTAACGTTTTGATAGGCATCCCAATAGGGATTGCTTTTTGCGACACAGTCGGATATGTTGCAAAAGTAGAGGGGATCTCTATGCAACCTGCATTGAATCCAGATTTACGGTATCCTGATTATGTGTTTTTAAATCGTTGGGCTATCCGAAATCAAGATATACAGCGTGGCGATATAGTCTGTATCACATCTCCCAAAGTGCCAGATCAAACACTCATCAAAAGAGTTGTAGGACTTGCTGGAGACATTGTGGACACTCGTGGATATAAAATCAGTGCTCTTCAAGTATGTGATACGTAACTGTTGGATCCATATATAATAACGTTTTTAATAAATTGATAACTGCTGTTTTATTCTTTTATCTGTGAATAAATTATGACATTTTAAATATAGATACCAGAAGGATATTGTTGGTTGGAAGGAGATCACGTTGGGCATTCTATGGACTCAAATATCTTTGGACCAATTTCTCTGGGTCTAGTAACAGCAAAAGCTACTCATATAGTTTGGCCACCAAATAGGTGGCAACAGTTATATCCTACAAAGTTTAATCATGCGAGCTGTTAGCTTTGTAAAGAAACTACAATGGGAATTACCTGGTACTGTATGCAGGTAAGCTTAAATTATCATAGACTGTTTTACAAATAACTTGAGAATGCGAGTTATTTTAATATTATGTATAGGCATGGCTTAACAATAGGAGATGTCGACAATGATGGTGACAATGAATTAGTCGTCGGTACTACTGAGGGAGAACTTTACATCTTCAAGGTAAACATGATAGTAATACTATATATTAAAAAAATTTTATAGTTATATATATTTTATATATAATATTTATTCTTGTATGGCAGGGATCAGAATTATGGCAGAAGATAACGGGTCTTGGTCTTATAACTAGTGTAGCAATTGGAGATATTTTTAATTATGGACGCAATGCACTTGTTGTCATCTGTGGTGATGGATGGACACATATATTTTATAGTCCTAGATCTGTCAATCCTAATAATGCAAATGTACCTGTAAGTCAACATGCTGGAAAAGATGCAAATGAACAAGATAACTTCAAAACAAATATCAGTGGTAAGTTTGAGTTTCAAAATATGGATGGATATATTTTATAATGTAAAAAGTCTTAGTATTTACTCTAAATAACACGCAGAATATATATATGTGCAGATATAATAAATTCCCAAAACTTGGAACATATTGACAATATTACTGAAATTAATGAACTTTCTGGAAAAATGGAATGTGTGCATGTACAAAGAATTCCAACCAATACAAAGATAGTATTGATAGCTGATGTTGATAAAGATGGTGCCAATGAGATGATTCTTGGTCTAACAGATCGTGTTGTCAGATCCTATAGATGGTCAAGTAATGCTGATTTAGAAACAGGAAAATTGATTGGCTTAAATAAATGGGAATGCACTAATCAAATAGGAACAGTTACATTGCAGGTATTCCAAGTTATATATATATGATAATCATTATACAATTAAATTAATATTGATCATAGAAAAATATATTAAGCAGAGATACGGAAATATAAAATTTTTATTTAGCATACTGGGGATGGTACACCAACTCTGTTGGTTGCACAACCTGGTGGTACATTTATGCGGATTAAATGCAATTCCGCCGATTGCCATTCAAAAGATACTTCTTGTGAGGCTGTTGATTATCAAACATTAGGAATATCTAGGATGCGTAATCAAAATATTTCAACTGAGATTATTGGAGATTTAGAACCAGGAACGACGCCGTTTATTTCGACGCTTGAGCCTAAAATGCCTAATTACATGCCTAAAGATAAATCGTCAAAACAAAACTTTGCAGACGATAGTCAACTGGGTATGAAAACCTCCAAGTCCGGCTCGCTCGAATTTAAAAGAAATTATTCGCAACCTGTGATTCGAAAAAATAGTCTGGATATGACAGGCGAACATACTAGAGATTTTACAAGAAATCAACAAATAGTTAAATTTTATAATCCTGCGGATTCTTCAAGTGATGAAGTCGATGGCAACTTCATTGGTGGCAAGGTTATTCTCGGAGAATTTGACGAAGAATTCAACGGAAAATTCAAGAAAAAAAAAGATACGCTGTTGCCATCTTTTAAGAATTTTTCCATTGATGATAAAAATAAGAATAAAAGTAATAATAATAACAATGATACCAATAATATGAATCAACATGAGAAAAAAGATAAGGATTTGAATAATATAGTCAATAGTGAAAATGTTCCAAAAGGAAAACCTTATGCCTTGGCAACGCTTGATGGAACTATTATGTTAGTGCAGGATGAAGTCATCTTATGGTAAGCAGCTATATATCCAGCGATCTATTTAAATATATTTTTATAAATTGCGGAATATATCGCATTGTTGTCTTTTCTTTACAGGGCTATGCAAGTAGATCATCAGATATTTGCTTTATGTCGATTGAATGTCACAGGTAATAATTCCGATGAGATAATTGCCTGCGCTTGGGATGGTCAAACTTACATCTTAGATCAACAACGGCATAGCGTACGTTTTCAGTTCGAAGAACCAGTCAGAGCTTTTTGTACCGGAAATTACAACGTAACTCCAGGAACATCTAGTCCTAGTCTAGTGTACAACACTTTTAACAACAAGGTTCTTATACATTTATTCGAGAATATATATGCACAATTGAAATAATTGATTGTTTTTAAGGATCATGATCATTATATTTTTTATCTTTTCCAGATTTTTCTCTACTACGATGTTATTCTTCCGAGCATGACAATCAGTCCTCTAAATCCGATGAAAGACTTTGAATCTGAGGAAATGCAAACCTTAAAGGAATTATTGGGTGAATGTAGTACTAATGAAAAGCAGCAAAAGATGCAACAATTAACCGAATGGCTATTATATGGCATACATTAGCATACATTATAAAACAAATAATATATTGATAGGGAGATGTGTAATAAAATATGCATTGAATTTTATTTTTGTTTCTTACATTTCTCATAGTATCAGTATAATGTTAGAAATGAAAATAAATCGATCGAAGATAATTGTCTCTAAACGCGTCTAATTTTTATTAAAAAATATATCCGAATGATTATAAAATGAGTTTCTTCTTCGGTACCTTTCATATCTCATATCGATAGGGTGTTTATGTGATCCTACGGAATATATTAAGTTATCACGAAGTATGTATGATCGATGAAAAATTGATATAATATTTTATAAGCAAATAAGTGATTAACAATATCAGCGAAATTTGTTTAATCCTTTCTTTATGACACACGCAGCCACGAGTATGATTCCTCTTTATAGAGAAGTCCACCGCGAAAATCTTTTGTTATAATACTTGCTTACATTATTATAATACTTATAAATATTACACCATATAAAAAAAAAACAAAAATTTTGATCGAATGCAATGTGAAGATTTTCGCCTATATTTTTGGAACCTAGCGAATCAGATTTTATCTATATAAAGTCATATAATACTTATTGAATAAATATTACACTGCCATATAGAAAAAAACAAAAATTTTGATCGAATGCAATGTAAAGATTTTCGCCTATATTTTTGGAACCTTGCGAATCAGATTTTATCTATATAAAGTCATTAATCAAACTGACATTGTATCGAGTATTAGCCCAACATATAACATCGCATTGCATGTCATCGTTTTTGGTGGGAGTATATATTTTATATTTATTTTTCCGAACTCCTACTATTTTACTAGATATACATGTATCAGATCGTGATCATGTAAGCTATACTTTTCCGGTATAGCTTTAGTGCCGACATAGTGCATCCAACATTAATTTAAACCGTCATATTAGATAAAAATAGAGAGGAAATAATCGAAATATAATAAATAGTATAATTGGCAGTATGTAACATATATTTACAAGGTTTCTATTTAAGAATTCTTGTCTATTTTTGAAACCTTGCTAATTGCATTTTATCTATAATGTCATTAATCAAACTGACATTCTATCGAGTAGTTAACTCAATATATGGTACCACATTGTATGTTTGGTTGTCAGTGAGAGCGTGTATTTCTTCAGATATTTTTCCTGACTCCTACTGTTTTATTAGATATATATACATGATCAGATCGTGATCACGTAAGTTGTACTTTTCTAAAATCCGATATTGCTTTAGTGCAGGAATAGTGCATTCAACATTAAGGCCTAGTTCAACAATGGCCAGTTAGCTTAACTAGTAGTTAAGTAGTGATGCCAATCACTGAAACAAAATTCGGTAAGCTATTTGCTTTGCTGATTATACTCGTCCAATATCTTCAGCCAAGCCTCTTCTTTGTCTCTAACACTCACAGCATCAGTCCGCTTATTTTCTATTATCAATTTGTATTTTTTTATTAATGATGAGGAAAAACTGGTACTTGTATCATAAATTATAGAATGATCATGTCTAAACTAGATAGCTAAGATCACAAGGATTCCGAAATAAAACATCGATGGCGCATCTTTAATTCTCGTTTTCACATTGTAACATTATTAGATATTGTAGAACTACTTAGACGAAACGTACGGCTTTGATAGTTAAATATGATTGACTAGTTAAAATAGAATTATCTAGAAGTTTTTTGAGAACGCAACTCTGGTCTTATCTTTTTCAAAAGTTGCTGGATTATTTATGATCGCATCGCGCGATGCGACGTTAAGATGACAATTGTCTCGTCACATCATTTGAATAAAACATATAGTAGCAATAACAAGAGATTTAGCGTTTATTTGCCTTTGTCTTTCATTTGTTGACAATAGTACGCCAAATATGCACATGATATGCAGTAGATAGGTGAATTTTTTATAAGTGCGCGCTATAGTCAAATTGGATATCTTAATGGAATAAATTAATAAGAATATACCCTAATGAGAAGAATAAATGCTATTTGAAAATTGGATATACTTAATTATTTTTCTAAAATGGCAGACATTTGATATAATCGTTTTTCTAAAATGCAATCGATGTCTCGATAGTGTCAACTGCATTACAAACCGCGCATAATACGCTATAAAATTAATACGCAAAATTATTTTTAAAATATGCGAGTTGTACTTTTTCAATACATAGACAATAAAATATTCATATATCGATAATAATAAAATACATTAATCACGATGCTCCATTGTAGTATCATTATACAGTTTTGTGTTACGATATCCTTCCTCGAGTTTATATTTCATCGATTCCCCAATCAAACTGTCTGATTCTCCGCATGTTGCATCGTGACTGACACTGATACCATTATTATATCGCGAGTAATCTCTCTTTGAAAAAACTTATAGGGAAGTCTGAAGGCTGTCGTATGGACGGATATGGTTCAGATAATGGTGACTTTCGGAAGTCTCGTTGCAGTTATGATTTTGGGTATCATCGCCGTGGGCGGCGTCGGCGAGACCTGGAGAATAGCCGAAGAAGGTGGCAGAATTGAGTTTTGGAAGTAAGAACGATTTATGTGCACTTTTTATACGTTACAATCTATAAATCTATTAAAATGAGAGAATCATTATTAAAAACGAGATCGCAGATATATAATCGCACATCAATGTCAATTCATTAAATTTCCTCGGTTAAAATTTATGTAAATCACGAAAAGAACAGCGAAAGTAGAAGTATAGATTATAATAACAATTTTTTGAGATAAATCAATCGATGAGTTTGTAATAAATTAATATTAAAAAAAGAAAGAAATGTTTCTTCTTTGCACACCAACTACGCGTTGGCTCTTATGTGCCATTTTCTTTTTAATTTTTTGATTATTTGAGCCAAATCTCTAATTACTAAATATAAATAATAAATAATATAATTCGAGAATCTCTTTTTTTCTCTTTCTCTTGGACTCTCATTAATAATTCATAAATTATATATCTTTTAATTTTAATTTTTGTCGAATAGCTTCTTTGCACGGGATATTTTCGAGCATTTATAAATTAGCATTTATTTTTTTTTTAGTTTTGTGAGATATTAATCGTTTAATAAATAATTAATCTATACTTTAAAATAATTATATAATTTAATTTATTCCACGCATGTATACATGTAAGTCGTAGTACGTAAAATATTTCGGCAACAAACTATCAATAATAACATAAGGTTCGACCTTGGTGTAAAAATCGTGCTATTATTGATGCCGTATAACGTATTTATATCTTTATTTATATTGTTATTTATATTTAGATATTATTTATATTTATTTATATTAATATTATTTTATTTATTTATAGTACGTATACGAGGGTAGTTCGAAAAGTTCTCGGCCTGGCAAAGAAAACACATGATTTCCAGCAAAAATCTTTTTTATTTTTCAACATAGTCCCCTTTCAACTCAATACATTTAGACCAACGATGTTCTAATTTTTTTATACCCTCAGTATAATACGATTTGCTTAAGCCTCCAAAATAAGCATCCGTCTCAGCGATGACCTCCGCATTTGACGTGAATTTTTTTCCAGCAAGCCATTTTTTCATATTCGGAAACAAAAAGAAGTCACTGGGAGTTAAATCTGGCGAGTACGGTGCGTGTGGTAACAATTCGAAACGCAATTCATGGAGCTTTGCAACTGCAATTGAAGACGTGTGAGCGGGTGCATTGTCGTGATGGAAAAGCACTTTTTTCTTTGCCAAATGAGGACGTTTGGTTTTAATAGCATCGTTCAATTGCTCCAGCAATGCTGCATAATATTCCCCATTGATGGTTTTGCCTTTTTCTAGATAATCTATGAACACCACACCTTGCGAATCCCAAAAAACAGTCGCCATGACTTTTCCGGCTGATGGAACTGTTTTTGCCTTCTTTGGAGCACTTCCACCCGCTTCCACCCATTGTTTTGATTGTTGTTTCGTCTCTGGCGTGTAATGGTGAATCCATGTTTCATCGACAGTGATAAATCGTCGCAGAAATTCGGTTGAATTGCGTTTAAACAAGTCCAAGCACTCTTGAGAAATGTTCGTTCGAATGCGTTTCTGATCGACCGTTAACAAACGCGGCACCCATCGCGCTGAGAGCTTTCTCATATGCAAATGTTCATGTAAGATATTGTGAACACGATCTATTGAGATGTTTGCAATGTTAGAAAGCTCACGCACTTTTACTCGTCGATCATTTAACACGCTATCGTGGATTTTTTGAATGATTTCCTCATTCGTGGCGGTTTTCGGGCGACCCGAACGTTCATCGTCAAAGATGGATGAACGGCCACGTTTAAATTCAGCAGCCCATTTCTTCACTGTTGAAAATGATGGAGAAGAGTCTCCCAAAGTGGAATCCAGCTCGTTTTTTATTTCTGTTGCCGTTAATCCTTTTAAAACGAAATATTTTATGACTGCGCGATATTCAATTTTATCCATTTCTGGAGAAGTATCAAATCTTGTCTGTTTTACTCGAGCACAGTAAACAAACTAGCGAACGAATCTGTTGAAACTGTGCGGTACGCCCTCTGAGGGATTAAACTTGAGAAAAATCATAGCCATTTGATATTCTTAGCGACATTTCTATATTAGGCCGAGAACTTTTCGAACTACCCTCGTACATGTACTCGTTTGTATCATCGGTAAAGTATAAGTACGATGTACGCTTATCATATCGGTACCGAAAGTATTTTGAAAGTATTTTGTTATCTGGGTATTGGTTAAAGATGACCAACTGAGGGTAAATTTTCACCATAATAATCAAATGTGTTTGATGAGTCGGAGATAATTACAGAACGATGACATTATCGACTGTTTTGACAGCGTGATGTAGGATGTGGTTAGAGAATGGCTGCACACAAATCGGTGTTCTTCAAATATAAATGTGATATGCAATTGTGGGTGTGTATAATAATGTTGGATTTTTAATAAAATAACAGCTCTGTTTTATTTTTTCATCTGTGGATAAATTATGACGTTTTAAATATAGGTACCAGAAGAATATTGTTGATTGGAAGAAGATCACGTTGGACATTCTATGAACTCTAATACTTTTGGACAAATTCCTCTGGGAGTCTATTAAAGATAGCGAAAGCTATTCATATAGGCTGCGTTCCGTAACGCACATATGCGCGCATATGCATGAATATACCTGTAGGATGTCGTTTAGGCATTGTGCATATGTGCTTTATAGAACACAACTATAATTTGGCCACCAAATAGGTGGCAAGTTCTATCATACAAAGTTTAATCATGAGGGTTGTTAACTTTATAAAGAAATTACAATGGGAATTACCTGATACTGTATGCAAGTAAGTATAAATTATCACAAAATGTTAGTTTTATAAATAACTTCAGAATGTGAGTTATTTTAATATTATGTGTAGATATGGCTTAACAATAGGAGATATCGACAATGATGATAATGAATTAATCTTCGGTACTGCTGAGGGAGAACTTTACATCTTCAAGGTAAACATAATGGTAATACTATTCAAAATTTTGTTTTACAGTTATATGTATAATATTTATTCTTGTATGGCAGGGATCAGAATCATGGCAGAAGATAAACAAATCTTGGTCTTAACTAGAGTAGCAGTTGGAAATATTTTTAATTATGCAATGCACTTGTCATCTATGGTAATGGATGGACGCATATATTTTCCTAGATCTGTCATTCTTAATAATACAAATGCATCTTTTAATCAATATGTTAGCAAAGATGAGAATAAACAAGATAACTTCAAAACAAATAAATCGGTGGTAAGTTTGAGTCTTTCAAAATGTGGATAAATTATAAAATAATGCAAAAAAGCTTAGTATTTATTCTAGATAACATACAGAATATATATATATGTGTGTGTGTGTGTGTGTAGATATAATAAATTCTCAAAATTTGAAACATATTGATAACACTGAAATAAACGAATCTTCTGGAAAAATGGAATGTGTGCATGTACAAAGAATTTCAATCAATACAAAAATAGTATTAATAGTTGATGTTGCTAAAGATGCCAATGAGATGATTGGCATCAATAGAAACATGATTGATTGGCTTAAATAAATGGGAATGCACTAATAAAATAAAAACAGTTACACTGCCAGTTACACTGCAAGTTCTATAATAATCATACAATTAAATTGATTGACTTATAATATAGGAAAATATAAAGCAAAAATATGGGTATTTAAACATTTTTATTTCGCATACTGAGGATGGTACACCAACCCTTCTGTTGGTTGCAGGTATTTTGGTGATACATTTATGCGGATTAAATATAATTCCAATGATTGCCATTCAAAAGACACTTGACTTCTTATGAGACTTCTTATGAGGCTATTGATTGTCAAACGTTAAGAATATCTAGGATGCGTAATCAAAATATTTCAGCTGAGATTATCGGAGCCTTAAAATAAAAAATGACGCCGTTTATTTCAACATTTAAGAACAATGTACTTGGATAGATCAAACTTACATCTTAGATCAACAATGGCATAGAATACGTTTTCAGTTGGAGGAATCAGTTAGAGCTTTTTATACAGGAAATTACAACATAACTCCAGAGACATCTATCCCCAGCCTAGTGTACAACACTTTTAACATGGTTCTTATACATTTATTCGAGAATATATATGCGTGATTGAAATAATTAATTGTTTTTAATGATTGTGATCATTATATTTTTTTATCTTTTCCAGATTTTTTTTTTACAATGTTATTCTTCCGAGTATGACGATCAGTCCTCTAAATCCCATGAAAGACTTTGAATCTGATGAAATGCAGACCTTAAAGGAATTATTGGATAAATGCTGTACTAATGAAAAACAGCAAAAGATGCAGCAATTAATGGCTGTTATACAGCGTACATTTGCATATTAAACAAATAATGCATAGGCAGGGAGATGTATAATAAAATATACATTGAAATATTTTTGTTCCTTACATTTCTCACATTATCAGTTATAATGTTAGAAATGAAAATAAATCGATTGAAGATACTTGTTCCTGAACGCGTCTAATTCATTTTCATCAAAAAATATATTCGAATAAACGTAAAACAGGTTTTCTCTTCGGCACTTTTCACATCTCATATCGATAGAATGTTTATGTGATCTCTGAGATATACGTTATCGTGAAGGATATATGATCGATGAAAAATTGATATAATTTTTTGGCAAATAAGCGATTAGTGATATCAACGTAATTTTTGATAGAATGCAACGTAAAGATTCCTATTTAAGAATTTTTATTCTATTTGCGGAACCTTCGGAGTCGCAGCATTTTATCTATAGTGTTATAAATCTAACTGACATTGCACGGAGTATCAGCAGCCCAACATATAGTATCGCATTGCATGTTATCGTTGTCAGTGGGTATGTAGATTTCGTCAAGTACTTTTCCAAATTCCTACTGTTTAATAGATGTGTATACCTAATCAGATCACATAAACTGGATTTTTCCGAAATCCAGTGTTATTTTAGTGTCGGAATAGTGCATTCAACATTAACTTAGACCGCCATATTAGATAAGTAAAAAGAAAATAATTGAGATATAATAAATGTAAGTATAATTGGCAATATGTAACATATATTTTCAAAATTTGGATGTGTGTGTAAAATTTAGAACAGGATTATATATAAATTCATTTCTATTCGAATATAAACTTAATCTTGTTTAAAGCATTTCTCGACAAAAAGTTAAAAAATTCAATCAAGAAACAATTAAAAAGGATAGATATTAAATATTGAAGTAATTTACACGCAATGCGTGAGGCACTAGCAAGAGACATGTTTCGTGCTATAAATCATGAGAAGTCATTAAAAACACAGTTCACTTTCGTTCAATCCGTATTGCAAAAAAAACTGGTATAATCTCACTTTCTACTTTGCATCAAGAAAGAAAGTGCTCGGTGTTTAAATGTAATCTAACGACTGCATCTTACACGCGTACATCTGAAACGTGTCGCGGATATTCGAATCTTTAAAACACGCAGTTCTTTAAAACACACAGTTTTCATCAACGGGAATAAATCCGGGATGATCGCCAATAGTACGGAGTCATTTTTTGTGGGTCAAGAATTGAAGGAACTCGCTTTCGGATGGACCGACTACATTCTATTCGCTGGTCTGCTGGGCATCAGCATCCTTATCGGCATTTACTTTGGCTTCTTCAGCACGAAACAGGATAATACTACTGAATATTTGCTCGGCGGCAGAACCATGTCCTTTTTTCCAATTAGCATGAGCCTCATTGCCAGGTGACTTGTAAACATTTACCATTTCACCGTTTCCGATATTATTTTTATCAAAAATAGCAATTTGTTTAATTAGGGTAAAACATATAATTTTTATTTTTAATTATTTATTTGAGTGAGCCATCTTCGCATATATTTTTTAGATAAAATCTTCACTATAGAAATAGATAGTAGTGTATCTGTATTAATTTAGTCTTGTTATATTAAAAGTTCAACAAAAGTTAAATTTTAAAATTTTCCCGATTCAGCGAATTCGCCCCGATATTTTTCTCGTCTACATCTCTTCAGGGAGGGGTAAAGAGGGATTTTTATAGAATTCTCAAAAATGAGAATCTATATCTTGGTAAATGCCTTGTAAAATATATGCATATGTCTTATGCACGTTCTAATTTTCGCGAATAATTAATCTTTAATAATATTTTACGCACTACCATCCGCGGTGGCTCTTAATCGCTATTTTCTCGTGTATCGTGTTGTTTAGTACATAACAGAGCATAATTCTTTATCAATTTATTAATTTGTTAAATTTTAAAATTTATTTTACACAAACTATCTCAAAATTGTTGGACATTTCTCACAATTAATCAGAATCCTTTATTTAATTTCGAATAATTATTAGCAAAGAAAAGGAAGAAAAAGGAAGAAAAAGATAATTATATTTGACAAAATGAGGGCCCATCAAAAAGCAAAGAATATCTCAAATAAAAATAATATCTCGCTTTTGTAACTATCCTGAAACTATTAAACTTAAAGGTGATGGAGAGCGCTAATAGAGTTTAATTAGTGCTTCAAATTAAAATTCTGATAAAATTTACCTAAGATTTTTTCAAATGCAATATAAAATTTTATTATTTATGAATTCATATGATTTTTAATGTACACAAGATATCGTCTAATTTTCCATTATTAATTACTGTAAAGCTATTGGTATCTTTCTGCGGAAAAATCTTTATTGACAAATTGATTTTTAAATAACAAAAAGCAATAAATTAGTACTTATATTAAAGATATTTAACAGGAGATGTATTAGAGGAGATATATATATATATATATATATATATATATATATATATATATGAAATTAATTAAAATTAAGTTATATATATATATATATATATATATATATATCTTAATTTTAATTAATTTCATATTTAAGAGTGTGAAAAAGAAAATCCATTTCTAACGAAGATAAAATTTGTTTCAGTCATATATCGGGGGTATCTTTGCTCAGCATACCTTCTGAGGTGTACCAATACGGGACGCAATACGCAGCATGCATTTTCTCATCTTTGATCACTTGTTTCTTAATCATAGTCATATATCTGCCGGTGTTTTACAAACTACAACTGACAAGCACATTCGAATATTTGGAAATTAGATTCGCCAGGCCCGTTCGGATATTAGCATCCTTTCTCTTCACCCTTTCGCTGGTGATTTATGTGCCACTGATAATATACGTGCCGGCATTAGCCTTCTCGCAAGCAACGGGGATGAATCTGCATTATGTTGCGCCGGTGATATGCATGGTGTGCATTTTCTACACGACTGTCGTAAGTGAAATATATATATGTATATAATATGCTTTTAATCGATGTTGTAAATTTTGAATCTTTATACGATAAACATTTGCTATCGAAGACAACAATTTGTCATACTTTATCAAAGTAAAGTTTGTATTGCACTTAAATTTTTTAGAGGAAAAAAAGTTTAATTATGTTTGTAGATTTAAGAAGCTTCCCTTGAAAACTTGATTTCTGATGTATTTATGAGACTTAGACATTACGACTCATTCAATTGCATTTGAATGAAAAATAGCAGACGCTATATTAATCATCTATTAACATTCGCATGTACTGCATATTGAAATATAGATTATCAAGATTATAGAAATTATAGAATGATCATGTCTAGATTAGCTAAAAGATCGCAAGAACTGCGAAATAAAACATCCATGACGCACCTTTATACGTCACACGCATTTTCACTTTCACTCATCATAGCTTTATCAAATATTTTAGAACAATTTATTGTAGAACTATTTAGACGAAACGTACGGCTAAATGACAGTTAAATATGAATGACTATTTAAAATAGACTATTTAAAATAAAATTATCTGGAGGTTTGTTGAGCAACTCTGGTCTTATCTTTTTCAAAAGTTGGATATTTATGATACAACATCACATGCAGTAGACAGGTGAATTGTTTATAGTACACGTTAGAGTCAAGTTCAATATCATGATTAATGAGATCATGTGTGATTAATAAATAATATTTGAAGACATTTGATATAATTTTTTTTAAGATGCAATCTAACTCGATAACGTCAATTGCATTACAAACTGCGCGTAATACGCTATAAATAATAAAATTGATGCTCAAAATTATTTTTAAAATACACGTGTTGTTCTTTTTCAATATGTGTGCGATAAGATATCCATGTATCAATAATAATTTATAAAATACACGAATCACGGCGTTCCATTATAATAGCATCATTATGGAATTGTACGATATTCCCTCGAGTTTACGTTTCACCGACTCCCCAATCGTATCGTTTGATTCTCCGCACGTCGCATCGTGACTGACACTGATACCTTTATTGTATCGCAAATAATCTCTTTTTGAAAAAACTCAGGGAGGTCTGAAAGCTGTCGTATGGGCGGATACGATTCAGATGACGGTGACTCTCGGAAGTCTCATTGCAGTTGTGATTTTGGGTACCATTGCCGTAGGCGGCGTCGGCGCGACCTGGAGAATAGCCGAAGAAGGTGGTAGAATTGTGTTTTGGAAGTAAGAACGGTATTTATGTATACTTTTTATACGTTACCATCTATTAAAAGAAGAGGATCATTTTAAAAATGAAACGAAGCCGCGGATGTATAACCGCAATGTCAATTAATTAAATTCTCGATTGCGATATCAATCAATAAATGTAAATCAATTCCAAAATATTATTTCGCGCATGTGATACAGCTTTTCTAAATATTAAATTGCATTTGTACATGTTACATTATGGTAGCTCTTTAAATATTGTTTACATATATTCGTTATTTATTTTTACAGTCGTATTGCCATGTACGTTTTCTCCGTAAGATTTTTTATATAATTACACGTTGTGAAAATGATGTGTAGCAATATATATAGATTTATTCGGGTTTAATGATATAATTAATTAGAGTAAAATTAACTTCAATATTTTTTTATTAACTGTAGTAATTATACACGCCATAAAAATGATAACTAAATGGAACTGCTGTTAGAAATTATATTAATTAATTCTTATTTACAGCATGGATCCCAACCCTTTCCTCAGAAACTCATTTTGGGCTACATCAGTGGGAATGACAATGATGTGGCTGATGTCACTGGGCACTAGCCAAATTTCTGTACAAAGATTTCTGGCGGTGCCTAACATTAAGGAAGCGCATAAGTAAGTGCACGAATACCAGAATTGCTTACGACAAATGACAACTATTTTATACGAATATTTTTGTAGGTCAATATGGTGCCTAGGTGTGGGTTTAGTGATCGTAAAATTGGTCTCCGTCTTTACCGGCCTTACAATGTATGCAAGGTATCACAAATGCGATCCCATAAGTACACATGTAAGTTTTAACATTTATTAGCTTTTAACTTAACACTCGCTAAGTATCTTAAAAACATATGAAGAATACGTGATAAAAATAATTTGAAATTTTAAAAACATTTCTTTTCAAAAGTCGCTCTCTTTGAGATTTTAATAAATTGATTTTTTTAGATTTTTTTAGACAATCAAAATTAGTTTATACTTATAATAAACCATTTTTTACATTTATTTCATAAAATATAAATTTTCTTTATTAAATTTATTATATTTATAAACTCTTAGTTCAGCTTATCTTCTTTGGCCATATTCTTATATCGCATCTCATGTAGAGATAAATCATGCAATTAAAGTAAGATTAAAAAGTCGAGTAGTTAAAGGATTAAATAAAAATGCTTTCCATAAAGATTCAGTAAGGGAATTATCTTGTTTTCAGGTGGTAGGAAGCAACGACAAGATATTGCCATATTACGTGCTAGATGTAGCCGCGGATGTTCCGGGACTTCCTGGCCTCTTTCTCGCCGGACTAGTGAGCGCCGGTCTCTCGACAATGAGCGCCGGACTGAACACAGTCGCTGGCACGATTTATGAGGATTTCATCGATCGCTGGATGCCAGAGAGTAACGACAAAGAGAATAAAGCCGCCAACATTATGAAGGTACAAAGACAGAACATATTATGCGGATCTGAAATCGTGATAAAAACAGAAGATTTTCTCTTTCCCTCTTTTGTAATATATCATTAAGCGCAATTTGTCATATAAAAATAAAAATAATTTGGATCATCGTCTCAACAAAAATTTACTAAATAGGCGATATAAGTAATACATTTCCACGATGACTTTTATCCTCAGGTCATGGTGGTTATCTTAGGCGTTCTATGCTTGGGCATGGTGTTCGTCGTGGACCGACTCGGCGATATCTTCCAGTTGTCCTACGCTATGGGCGGTATTACCTCCGGTACGTTGCTCGGTTTGTTCTCGTTGGGAATGCTAGTACCTTGGGCAACGACCAAGGGAGCAGTAGTCGGCGGACTGATCTCGATAGTGACGATGACCTGGATCATCGTCGGCACGCAATGGCATAAGATGAACAATCGCATCTACCATGAATCACTGCCGTCTACGACGGACGGTTGTCTGAATTTGTCTAGTTTATTTAATCATACAATTGCAACGACGCAAAATCTGACTCAAGTCGAATCCGTGGATGAACCTTTTTTCATATACAGAATATCCTTTATGTATTACACGTTATTGGGCGTCCTGATTGTAATTGTAGTCGGTACGATAGTCAGCTTCATTTGTGGTGCTTCTGACTTGAGCGAGGTCGACCGAGATCACTTTCCATCATGCATCGCCAGGTGTGTTCGAATATTTCGTTATAATTCTGAAATATATAGAACATTTTTTAAATATATAGGATATATAAAAAACACAAAGATATTTCTTTGTAACCATTTGATTGGAATCTATCATTATAAAAAGTATTTTGTTCACTCCGATTATATACGTATATGTTCTAGAATTGCGAAAAGTTGATAAAGTCAAAAAGAATTAATCTTTTCATTTTGCTATTTTGTATAAAAATTATTGTGGTGTTAAAGATTTCTATTATCTATTAAATAAGATATCTATTAAATAGTTTAAGTAAGATTCTGATATTAAACTTATTTTAAATATTTTTATCATTTATGTATCTATACACACACACACACACACACACATATATATATTTATTTATTTATTTATTGTTAATTTTTTATATATATATTATTACATTATTTGCAGATTTATGCCACCTAAAAAATATATGGAAGTATCATTGCATACAGTACCGACAGCGCTGGTAACCAATTTAGAAAAAGAAGAACTGAAATCTTAAAACATGTATATTTTATCTTCGCAAATCTCTTCTCCGATATCACGTCATTATTACAGCAAAAGGATGTAAACATGCGCCAGAATATTTGAAAAATCGTTCGATTGCAAGTTTAGTGATCTCTAATAATATTATATACTAATTATGATATAAAAACTCTAATAATATTATTATGTAAACGAATACAATAAATATTCTATCATAATCTCTCTCTAATTTCGACAGAACGAACTCAAATAAAGACTGTCTTGAGAGAAGTTTAATTCAAACTTTTAATATATCAACATTGATACGATAAAGATATTTATATATATATATACTGAACCGTCCAAGGAATAAAAAGAGAGAGAAGGAGAAAAAGAAAGTTTCAATCAATAAATCCTTAATATCATAAATTATTGAAAGACAGCAATCGACAGACAAACAAACTCATTTGCCAAGGGATAACTATATCTAACTGGCTCGTTCAGAGTTGAAAGCACCCATTAGACGTCGATGAGGGTGTCAAATTGACTAGATTATATATCTGCCCCACATGCATCTCAATACAAACAAGTCTCTCCCATCTGATACATCTAAAGGAACGATGTCTATCGGATTAGGGCCGAATGTAAATGCCGCGGAAGTTTTTTGTCAAGTCATTCGTCGAGTCTTTCTTTAAAATCTGCGATGGATTCGACCATCACGGCATGAGTAAATTATTGAACCTTTGGCTCGTTTCTCGAGAAGTGCGTAAAATTATCGACTTGATCACTAGCGAGCTTTTTCGTCACGAATTCGAGACGACGAAACGAAGAAATCTTATCAATGTCCGAGATGCTATCTCTTGTCAACTCTTAGGCGACGAAAGCTTCGACTAAAACTATTCCGCGGGAACATTCCATATGTATCTACGGTGGAGAACCAACGTGTGCTATCTCGAAGCGGCGACCACATTCCACCGCAGAGCGTTTTATTTTATTGGGCTGAAAGGTGTCAAATATATGTGGGGACCCATCTACTTACATACCGACACGCGAGTTTGAGAGAATCCTCCGTCCGTTCCTCGTCGCCTTTTCCTTCTTCTTTCTATTCGGTTTGATCTCAACTTCGGTATGAGTAAAATCCCAAAGTGAGAGGACCCGCATTGTGACCAAATGACAGATTTTTGACAGTTTCTGTCTGATTTGGTGTCGAGTGACAGACCTGAGAGGCCCAATCGCGCGCAGCCTCCTCGTGGTTGGCGTTGGTATCACCTCTTTACACCAAGTATCTCAAAAGCTTGACTATAATCCTTCTCATGTTAATTATTTTTATGACATTACAATAACGATAAAAATTTGAATTTAAAAAGAAATTACATTTATAGCAAAAGCAAGAAAATAAATGTAAAATTTTAAAGAATTACCTAGATTTGTTAAGGAAATTATTATTAATCAACAAATAATATTATATATTTAAAATAAAAGATGGTCATAAAATCACATAAAATAATTGATACAGAAAAAAGCTAAATCATCTTTTGCGTTCTAATTTTCTTTTTACTCTTATTATTTTTAAAATATAATTAAACGCAATTGATATTTTTATCTTTCTTTCATATCTTTAAAAAGAATCTTTATATTGCGTTCTTTATGTTATAGTTACTCATAATCAGCTAGACTCTCGCTACAAATCTATATGTAGGTCGAAGACAAATTTCCGAGATTCGGTTGCAGCTACTTTACGGTTGCCTGGTTTCTGTATATGCGAAATCATCATAATAGACTAGGGGGCTACGGTATGGGATACGACTTATTTTGTTGACAATGCACACGGTCAGGCGTTAGTATAAAGAGGTATAGTGCACCCCGCTAACGTGAAAATTATTCTGTCAAACATTCGAATGTCAGATTTATGCCGGCGTTCATCTACGACACGCATTTTCGAAAAAGACACGTCAATCGCGGCCGTTTTCGGCTGCAAATGCTGAAAGGGTGTCTCGGTCAATGAGATGCATACCGATCGACGCATATATTATTATAAGTATAACAAGAATGTTGTACATGTCACACGGTATTTAGTTTTTAAATAATTAATTCAACCATTTATATATTTTCTGTTGAATAGTATACTTTTAGGGCGCCCAAAATAACGATAAATATTAAGAATATTATGCACCAATAAAGTGCAAAATTGGAAAAAAGGATAATTATAAACGGAGCTTGATATAATTGTCATCAAAACTCTACATTTAAACTAATAAATTTCTTTATTGAAAACAAATTATTTTTGAAAATTATTGAAAGTAAATTGTTTTTTAATCAAGATAATACATATTTTTGTGCATAGAATAAATCAATTCAAATATCACATTCGTTATACTTCTTTTCGAAAGATATCATTTCAGGCTACGAATGCACAAAGTAAAATGGAAAAATTCGAAAATGATTTGTGTGAAAGAACTTCGGACTTTCCGTCTTCGATCGCTATTACTGTTTTCATTGTAAAAACTGTCGCATGACGAAGCACGAACACAATAGTTTCGAGACGAGGCGGAAAACTACAAAACAGCTCCCGCCTGCAGACACGCGGAATATTGTGACGTTTCTTCTCCGAATGACATTCAATTTTCAGGCTGGTAACGTCTCGCGTGCCCCCGACCGCACGCACCGTATGCGCTATAGAATAGAGAATACGATATATCCCGTGCACATCCCCAACCTCCCCCTTTTCGTCGATCAACGATGCAGCTACTCTAGACGGGCAGCCAGGGTGCTTTCCTAGTAAATACAAACAAACAACAATCGGCCTCCGTTTCTCTGCCCACGAAATCGGCGAGACGGGCGAACAGAAGGTGTATCGTATGTAGTATGGGGATGATCAACTGACAGTTCTAACGTGATCCTCGAGTTCGAATTTTGCGTTGAAAAGTCGATCTTTTGTTATCCTATTCTATTATTTCTTAAATAAAATGTAGTTTGTATAGAAAATAGACTATATAAAATATAGATTTATAAGAATATTATTTCAGAAAATTTTGATTAATTTTCAATGATCTATGAGTGCTATGTATTTTAAAGTTTAATTCACAATCGAGAAAAATCGTTTGTTTGTCCAAGGAAATTTTAGATGTATAAAAATATGAATTGAAAATTAATTTCGAAAACTTTTTTTACTCAGAAAATAATTTTATTGTTTTTATTGTATTATTTTTTTTTTACGTTACCACTTTTTTTCTTATAGTCCTATAGTTCATTCGAAGAATAACATGTTTAGATTCCAAAAAAGAAGTTGACTGTTCCTGCTTGAGTGCATTATACAACCCAACAAGTCTGTGAATATGAAAACACACCCAAACACGCGTTCGGAGAAAGAGTCGGCATGTATATGTGATGGGACCAAATCGCACAAAGAAACAGCCCAAATAGCTGCATAAAAGGTTTGTCATGGAGTAAAATATTCATTTTAAAAGTATTATTAAACGCAGTAATCCTCAAACCTTGCAATATATCTTGTGATTTCTCTAATGTCTACATTCGTGATTTCTTTTTAATTAAAATGTGCTTCCAAAGCTTCTCAAGCTTTATGTAAAATTTATGTTATCCTTTTAATATAGCCTTTGCCACAATGATATTTTTTATTCAATAGACAATATATAATATATTGCAAAATTAAATGTACGTTATATTAAATAACTAAATTATAAAAATTTGAAATTCTTTATGTTTATATCAAGAAAATATTTTGCGAGGAAACCGCAAAAAGACATTTAAATGCATTTATGAAATATGATAAAAAAATTTCTTAATTATCCTAAGGATTTTATCTTTTATATTTATTATTTCACTATGATGTCAAATTAAAGTTCATTAAGTTTAATAATATATAAAAATAAAATATCTTCAATTGTCTGATAAAAATATAAAATATAAATAATTTTAAATAATTTATGTCGGAATTTTTATTTCTTTTTTTATCATATGTCATTTATCTTTCAGTGAGCAATTTTAAAAATTTTTTTAGCTATTCGAGAAGTTAATTTATTATTTAATTTTTTTAGCTATTTGAGAAGTATATAATATCGCATGAAAAATGAAAAACAAGTTCGCCTACGTCTCTGGAGCAATGTATTGTATACAAATGTATATGATATCCTGTTGACATAGCTATACACTTGGCGAAAGAGGAGGAATATACAAGTATCCTTGTAGCAGCGAGATATAGATTGTACAAAGAAAGTTAAGATATATATGTTGTCTGGCTCCGAACGCATCCCTCCTCTTCTTGTCGCGTATAGAAAAGGTCACGTTTATTCTCCTGTAATACATCTATACAGGTTATCTTAAAAGCAAGATGCATTTTTCCAATGCATATTTCTATAAAAGGATAAACTAAGAGAAATGAGGTTTCTTTTCTAATGTCTTTGATTATCGAGACAGTAGGAAATTAAACTTTCGCGGAATGTAAGTAGAAAATAAAATCTTATTAATTCATTTAATTTCTTTCGAATTTTATTTCATGCTTTATCTCAATAGAAGTTCAATCTTAAGTCTAATTAACTATTTAACGTTTTAAAAATATTGCATGGAAATTGATTAAATTTTATTACAAATTGTATTCAAATCTCATTAAAAAGTATACAAAGAAATTATGTAATAACTGAAATATTCTATATCGTGTTGTTATAACAAGCACAGATGTTGCAACTACATGACGTATACATCTTTTCAAGATACTTTTTGACATTAGATATCAAAGCAAAGATATAGAATTAAGTTTACTAGAAATTTTTAGAGAAGCCAATACTTAATAAAGGTAGAATAAACTCGAATTATTACGAATTATATAAAATGTATGAGAAAAATTTAAAAGATTTATTTTACAACGAAAGAGAAAGAGAGAATTGGATAATTATATACGATATAAAATACGTATATAAAGAAAAAAGAATTTTTTGTTTTTCATAGACGATAAAACAGATAAGTTAATAAATTTATTCTTTTATTGTAATTTCCAGAGTTTGCTTTATCTAGAACGTCTCTGATACTAAACTGATACGTATTCTCTCGCGCATCATTATACTTGTTATCGCGTCAATCGTCGATGTCAATAGCGGACGCGCAGAATCACGCGTCCGCGAGGTATCTAGAATTTCCGGGACTTCCGCCAAACACGGCCTGCATGTATCGGGAAACAGGAGAGATCGGGGAACAGATAGAGAAAGAAAGAGAGAGAGAGAGAGAGAAACAAAAACACGCAAAGTCCCTGGACGCCGCGCGCGGGCTTTTGGCCTGACCTCGCTTTGCCACCAATTAGCATCTCCCTTAATGACGATCGCCGAGCGTACACGCGCGCTCGCGTGACGTTCAACACGTCGATGCATACACACGTGCATACATACGCTTCGTCCGTCGACCCACACGTACGACGCGAGACGAAAGGGAGCCGCGCTGCGAGAGAGGTCCATGAAAAAAAAATTCGTCGTCCCCACCGCTCACGGTTGCCCCCACTATCGCGATCTCGCCCTACCAAACTCGTAATGAATGCAACGTGCGTACCCCTGCGGTTCCCACTCTCGCGTGTCGCGCTCCCCCACTCGCTCGGCTTCCGTGAAAGATCTTTATTTTGATCGTCGACCGATTAACGACCACCGAGAGAGTACTCTCCACGCCTTCGCCGCGTCCGTTCGACCAATCGGCTCGCGTGCCGCCAGCCATTTTGGTCCATGCGGAGGCTGCGCGCACGTGCGTCATCCCTCACCTCCCTTCGCCCTTGCGGCTGGCCGCGAAGGGTGTTGCCTCGCAGGTGTGTGCTCCATCAGCCGTGTATCCGTGTGTATACGTGAAACGCGTACGCGCGCGCGTTTGTTCATCGAGGCAGAGTATTTCCATTAGGGAACGGGAGCCGCGAGAGGAAGCTGCGCTCGCTGTATCCTTCATCCGCGGGTAACAAACGCGTTGTCAACATTTCGTGCGGAAACCGAGAATGGCATGGTAAAGTACGTAAAATGATCGAAATTGCAGCGTGGTCGCATTCACAAATTTCCGCTCGTCGATATAATTACGAAATCGAGAGGGCGAGGATCGTACGGGAAAGTTTCGAAGCTGCTTCCTGAATGATTTCATTCGAGGAATAACAACCGAACTGACGAAACGTCGTCTCCTCTTTCATCTCGCGGAGAAGCGTTTGGATTTTCTCTCGGTGCGCACCCGCATTGCGTCTAGATAGTTACAACGACCTTCGTTAAATCTTTAACAACGAACGACGGGGAACGGAAGGAAGGGAGAAAAAAGGGCAAGAGAGCAAGTTAAGAGCGCGCCCTCCGTTTCCACATCAGCGTTCTTCTTTCTTCTCGTACACGTCGAACGTGTTTCTTCGTTTACGTACGAGGGTACGTGTGTGTTCCATCGCGATAGAATCTACGGGGGTGGGAAGAGGAGGGCGAGGGAGCCGGGGAGATTGCGGTCTCCTCCATTCTCCTCTCGCGCCTACGTATCATCGAGGTAGAGCTTATTTATAACGATAGCGGAGAATAAGAGGGGGAAGAGAAAGACGGGAGACGGAGGAGGAAAGAGACCAATCTTGCGAAACCTCGCCGCTTCTCCGTCTTCCCGCTACCAATTCGTTCGTGGCGTAGCCTGGCCGCGATGGTGGGATATTTTCCCGGGGAGATGGTAACGGAGGGAGTGCATCAAAAGGCAGGACGATCCGGGACCTCCGCGTGTCGGGCACATCGACGCGAATCTCATGCGCGTGTCAGTGGGGAACAGTTTTTCGTCGATGTGGGTGAACCTCCCCTTCGCGTCATATCGAATACGCACGCACACGCGCGATCCCGTCCTCACATATCGCTCCTCCGAAAGGAGGTAGGCCGACGACAGAGCGGGAGGAGTGGGGTCGAGGGCAGGACGATCCAGGACCACCACGACCATACGAGCGCTATTGTCAGAGTCGCGATGCGCGCCCCAGAAGCGAGACGAATCCCGTTTGTGTGAGTAATCCTTCCTTCCTCCTCTCTCCCATCGTCGCCCTTTCTCCGCGCGCACACGATCTTGCTCGCGTCCTTTCCTTCTCCTCCCCCTCCTCCCTTCCCCACTCTTCCCCCATCCTCGCCCCCACGCTGCCCGCGACGCCGTATCTCCCGACATCACGGATACAAGCAGACGCGCAACGGCAGCGTCCCCGGAGCGGAGCGTGCGGGTTCACGGGGAGACGCAGGTCGGGTAGACTTTCTCGGTGGAGGTAGCGGACGGGTAGTGGGGACCGTGAAACCGGGATCGGGAGGAAGGGGATCGCGCGATTCAGGATTTACGTCGTGAGCACCACCAAACGGCGGTACCACGAAGCACACGGCGTCGTCGTCCTGCCATCGCCGAGGATCGACGTCGTCGACGGCGTTGAGAGAGCAGCACCCGGGTGACAACGCTCGCTCACGCGGGACAGACGTTACGCGGGCCCACGTTGACGGCGACACGTTCACGCGTCCATCGCGTATCAACGCAACGCGGATCGACCATTCACGAAGTGAGTAAGTCATCCATCGATAGTCCGCGTAGTCTCTCCCGGTCGTTCCGACGCGACATTCGAATTCTGGGTCATCCGCGATAGTAGCAAAACCGTGGCACGTCGTCGCCAATCGTTATCGATCACGAGCCACATCACGAAAGTACTCGCGGAGTCCTGACACTTTCGGAGTGACGCGCCGTTCATTGAGATGATTCGCGAGTGACGACTTTACGAGAAGGAACAACGAAGACAAGAGGACGGGGACTTTAAAGTGGACGGTAGCCATCGCGCGTGGCAGTGGCTGGACGATAGTAGGACGTGGACAAGGACACCCTCAGGAAGCGTCTACGCGGAACGTCCAAGGATTTCATCCCCAGCCGGCACGGGGCAGCGACGCGTCGAGAGTACGTCGGGAAAGGTAAGCGAGAACTCATCAGACGATAGTTATATGAAAAGTATTGGGGTAAACACGAGGTAGCTTTTCAGTGCTCCAAGTTTGTCGTGGTTAAAAATTCGAAAGAGAGAATCTTTCAATATTTCAAAATTTTTTTTCAAGTGCTAAGATTGCATACGCATTTCTTATATATGTATCAATCGGCATGCATCTATATATGTTAAGAGATATATGTCAATTCATGTACGTCATTCCTGTCTCCGTGTGTCTGATGAGAAGACAGTTTAGATACGATTGTCGATTTATGAGATAACTTTATTACTATTATTATTGCAAAATAAGTGCGCGATTTGCGCATTCGATTCTTCGCGCAATTTGTTCGTAATTTGTTTGTATAAATTCTGATACGATGTATACGTACATTCTTTTATATACATACATTCTTCATGATTTGAAGATTGAATCGTGTTAATCTTTGCTCGCATCAATCAAATATATATGATATGTTATTTAACGATAACGATATCGAGGGATATTTATTTTAGTTTTTTTCTTAATTTTTTTCTTAAAATTTGCACCATTATTAATGTCAATTAATATTAAATATTGAACGTAATTACTATTGCATGTTTGAAAAATATAAAGTATCATGCACTAATGAAGATATTTAGGCGATAAAACAGCGTGAATATTAATTTAAAATTACATTACATCGTGAATATTAATTTAAAACTACATTATATCTTATATAAAAACGTATGTCTTTTATGTAAGAGTTACTTTTATATAATATCGTCTGAAAATCTTCAAGATCTGTCTAGACTTTAAAAATAACTCGGTTAAACCTTCTAATCATATATGAATGAATTGATAATTTAATCAATGAAGAATGTCCTCTCTTTCATGCTCTGACTTTAGCTAACTAATCTATGATCTAGGATTTCCATTTTTTCTTAATTACAACATGATCACTTTTACACGATCACCTTTTTATATTTATTAGACGAATTGAATTCATTGAATTGTTCCCGCATTTATTAAATACAGGAGAGTTTGTAGATAATATAATTTAAGTTTCACAATTTGATATTGAAGTGATATTGACGAAAATCACTTCAATATCAAATCTCATAAATAGTATATATAACAAGATCTAGAGACTTTTGTTTAATAACATTGTCGTACGATGTAATTCCAATCATCTAGATTGAGAAAAATTCGAATCTAATATGTTTGTAAGATATTTATTAAAGAATTATATAAAATGCAAACTTTCTTATATTCTTCTTACATTCGGTAGCCGAAGTAAAAGAGATAATCAATATTTATCATATATTTACATGTGTAATTTCTGGAAATTAGCTGAAAATTCTCTTTTTCACACGATTCGCAATTTAATTAATCTTTCAAGATTTTTGTTTTATTAAAATTTTCTATAAAGTTTTTCGTTCTACTTTTGGAGATTTAATCAATATATTTTGCTATTTCATAAGCTGTCGACAATAAAATAATATTATGCATTAATTGCATATAACTCTATATATAGTATGCTTAAAAATTAATGATGCCTTAAATTAAGGCGTAGAGAACAAAGTTTACCCTACGATGTTAAGAAATAGCTGAAAAGCCACTGTGAAAATTCGTGGGTATTCTCGAATTAGATTTTGGTCGAAACGCTGACGATTATCCTCCGACACGCCCTCCGATCGTTTGATTCAGAAGCCTCGGATCCTCCTTCCCTATAGTGAAATTTTGATGTTTGACATTTGTCTAGGGGCTGTAAATTTCCTCGTATCATATAAGGTCAACGTCCTCCTTGACATTTCTCAACTTCTTGTATTACGCGTGCAATATGAAAGAGAAAGCAATATTGTCTTTTTTTTTAGCATCTCTTGCTCTTCTGTCATTTGCGATATACAAGCGTACATTGTTACGTCATTAAATTAAGAATCAATTTTTAAAAAATCATATTATTAATAATACATTATGTTATTATTAATAATGAAATGATTTGCATTCTGTATAATAACAAAGACAATAATGTCCAGGAATTATTGAATTAATTTATTTCTTAAAAATGACACTAAGAGAATACCTCGGCGATCGAGATCCTGGAAATTTATCGAGAATTTTCATATGAAAATTAACGAGATGCGCGAGATACGCGTTGCGTATAGAGAGAACGGCTGACAGAAATACTCAAACGATGGCACCGCGTATGATAATCTTGACAATAATCTTAGTTGAACGATGGTTATGGATAAGTAGATCGGCTTAAAATTTCAACCGCGGCTTCTCATCAAACCGCATGAAAGACCGCAAAAGCGTGCGTGCGCAATTTCGCGGTCATTATTCGCGCGACTGAAATCGGCGTAACGGTCGACGGTGGATACGAGTCCTTTTCCGCGTCGCTTATGAATCCTCGATCGACCGCGCGTCTCCCTGATAAATGAAGTCGCGGAAATCGGCCGCTCCGAAAGAAAGCGACGAGCGAGGAGCGAGGAGGCGAGCGGCTTCTTGCGTAAGGACGCGGACGAAGAAAAGGGACCGGCGCGGCGCCTTTTCGCGCGTATCACGCTCGTGAGTGGCTCCGGTAGCCAGTCGCATGCTCGTTCTGTTAATTGTCGCCAATTAACGAGGTACACCTCTCGCCGGCGTCTCATCTTGCTTTACCGGCCACCTCCTTATCGGCTCTATTCACGATCGCCGCCGTCTTTTCTCTCCGCCGGCTCGTACACCCTGACGAGCAGCGGTAAACCATCGTTCGCGCTTTTGTCGGCATAACGCCGCGTCATCCCCGCTAATCGTCACGAAAAGTACGCCGCGTTTATACGACGTCCTCTCGACGATAAAGACCGCTACTGGCCGCGCGAGAGAGTGAAACGCGCCGCGCGAGCATCAATCTTTGTACCGATTTCTTTGGCCGAGCGGCCGTTCTCTAGCCGCGGCGGGATCGGTAATACGAGTTTAGTTACCTATCGCATCGGGATTCCGGCACCGAAATCGTCGCTCGTTAGCGAAGTACATTCGCGTTAGCGAGGTACCTTAGCCGAGAAGCCTGCGAGCGAGGAGAGCACCCGGGTACTTTTTTTTCGGAGCGTTCGCCAGCTTATTTTCAATTTTGTGCGCGGCCGCGAAATTAACTTCCTCCGGCGAGAACGATGGTTATTAACAGCCTCGACCGGCTACGATGTTCCGAATGAATGTACGCGAGAGATTTTAAATCGTCATTTATCAAAAGTTTTGGCAAGTGACTTTTAGCATGTGACCTTTCAGCGGGTTAATTTAATTGGTTCCTTTTTTTTATCGAGCAACGTATGTAATCTTAATTGCTAAGCGATACGTTCGAGTTCAGACATCGAAAGAAGACTTTTGTTTGTACTGAGTATTCCAATGTTTAGATTTATGATGAAAACTACATCTGTGTCGAAGAATTAACCAGAATGATATAACAATTAGAAACTAATAGATTTTAAGGATGTTTTGTATGTACAATCCCAGCAAAAAGTAGCTGAAAATCAATATTGACGAATATATCCACTTTTGGTGTATTTTGAGTAAGAAATTGTGTGGAATATTACAATTTGATCTACAGTGCAGAGATGTATTTTTTAATATTTATCGCGTTTTTTCTCAAATATTCCGAATTTTGTTAATCGAAATGATTAATTTTTGGCAGAGAAATTCGCCTTGTGACAAATACATGGCTAACTTCATTGAATTATATTTAATATCTTTTTAACCAGTTAGTACTTGTATAATATTATTTGACCAAATATTTCCTCTGTATCTAAACTTTTGCAAATTTTAAACAAATTCTGAATATTATTTCCACGTGTTTTTGTCATTTGAATCGACGTGATATGTTTCCCATAAGAACACATGTTAATTCGGTGCAAATTAAAATCCTTATAACTTGTGAACGCTTTAGTGAATCGATTTAAAAATTGTACTGAAGATTTTAAACATATGTAAGGACATTCTGTACAATTTTCATTAAATTCTCAATATTTTGAAAAAGGGTACAAAACATCCTTAATTCTATTAGATTTAATTGATTATAATCGCTCTTCGAACTAATGGTGCAACCATGTTTATAGCCGCAAGACCAGCAAAAATGCAGGTATATATTTTCTTAGAATTATTATGGAAAAAAAAAACACATTTTCTCTCGAAATATGCGTACAAGTGCATATGCATTTAATTAACATAACTAGATTCAAAGTCACAATCTGGGTTATGCAATATTTGATTTGAACATCAAAGAACCGAAGAAGCAATCGATTTTAATTGTTACGCCTTTCAACGTCGGCGACAGAGCCGTCGGGCATCGTCGCCTCCGCCTTCACTTTCACTCGCGTTCTCGCGAAGCGAGGTGGTACCGGCGTCATCCTCGTCTTGTGGTGATCCTCGTGGTGCCCTTTTTCTCACGAGTCATCTTCGTAGGTGCTGCGCAAAGTTTTCACAGCGAGAAGTGGCCGACGACGGGGGGTTGGCGATATGCGTCTCCCGGTTCAGGCCCGACCGAACGGCCTGACGGACAAACGCACAATGAGAACGTGGAATGCCCCGCAGAGCGAGACATGAAGACGTCACTCAGAAACGGTAACGGCCAGAACACGGGGTCAGGTCCGATCTGACCGTCTCGGCTCCGTAGTGCCAGCTGCGTTCTCTCGTCAAGTGAGTCAGCGCCGATTCCTGGCCTCCGTCGCGTCGGAGCATCACCTTCGGAACGAAATTCCTTCCGCGGGTGTGTGTGTTTCTATCGAGTTCACGCGGCTGACACTCGGTCAAAAGTTGTTAAAATTCACACGGTTCATGGTAAACAGAGAAAAATAGCTTCGGAATTGAATCCTGACAACAAACGTCATCGCACATGATAATGAATATTTATTTATGTACTGATTATGCAAAGAAATAAAAAAAGGAAATATATAAAGCTTAATGAAGGATAGAGAGAAGAATTAAAATCAAGAAGAGAGAATTAGTGAAGAGAGATCAATGTAAAATAAAATATATAATAT